TGAGCGCGAACGCGGTGATGGGAGGGTACTCTTAATTCGTTTGCCAGTGAGTTTAGCATCAGAACACCTGCCGTCAGGTGAGCACTGTCGCTCTGCGGCACTTGTTGACAGTAGTGTTGAAGTCATTGTGACACCTATTATAAATAATATAAATGGTGAGGTGGTATAATTCTGAGGATTGTAAAGGAGTTACGAGTAGTACTAAAGGATAGTATAATTCTGAGGTGTATCATATACCCTACCATAGCTAAACAAAAAAACGTAGGGAAAAATAGTAGTGGATCTTTTCATAACTTTAACCTTGCATGCAACTTATGCAACAGTTTCCTAAGATTTCACCTGCTTACTATTTACACGTACTTTACTCACGTGTATTAGCATTTAGGGATTTCCAATAGGTAGCACTATGCACAACAACAGTGATTGCTACACGCCACTTGTTAATATATTGGCTCATAAATTTTATGTAAAAATGAGTAAACACATTCGTTATCTCTCAATTTCTCTCCTTTCCAATGCTCTGCCCACTTTCGCAAAATATTAGGTTTGTTGGAGGTTGGGAAGTCTAATAGTTTATTGATTAGGAGATGTGTGTGCATGCAACTTTGCAAGGCTTATAGTCTCGACTGATACACTGGCCTACAGCTAACAGGGCACAAGATAGCTTTTGGCGATATTTTCTGAGAATAAAATGTGTCCTTTAAGCCACGTAATACGGTAATCTTTGAAATAGATTACCATTGTGATGTTTTTTTTTGTAATGATATTGTAATTATTGGCAGTTTTTATCGTGATATAGATAGCTGCTGCTGGCATCAAGATTTTAGAAACACAAAGAAAAATACTAAGTGAGGAGGAAGTTAATCTGTTGTATCCCAGTCTGCAAAATGAGGTGAATTGTGCACAAATATATCATGAAATGTAATCAAATTTATGAAAATATTTATTTCCTATACTTATGTCAAACTATATTTCTTGCATTGCTGGTTTATCAGTCTTTTCTCTATTACGACCATCTTATTCAACAATCCCCACATCTGGTAATCTATACATTTTCTATTTGTTTGTTGCATTCTTTTAACCACCTATAAAAATGTGTAGTTTATGTGTTTCTCTTATACATTCGTAGTGTTTTTACTTTCAAGAATGCATATATCATGTATATAGTATACATTCCATCCTTTAACATTCTAAACATTCTATATAATGCATTTGGCTCGATCATGTGTCTAAGCTCACAGATCAATACTCCTTTTCAGGAATATTTTGATGATATCGTAAAGTACTTGATGAGTGGAGATAGCCAAATCATGGTTCTTTGCAAGATGGGGACAGAGAAAGGCATTGTTGATGTTTGGCAAAACATGATCGGACCAATGGATTCTAGTATTGCCAAAGAAGAAGCATGTGATAGGTATAGTTTGTTGCATTCATGCTTCTGGTTAATGCTTCTCTCCAAACATTTTATATAGCAATTGTTGTGCTGTCTGAATAGCTGCTGTAACTTTTTATTTATACGATTGTTGTAGATTTACTCTATGCTATGTGATAAAAATTCAACTAAATTGTAAGGTTTTGAAGCCAATATTCAATGTGTTTAGGAAAATATCTATAGATACATAGATATTTTGTGACATCTTTAAACATTTATATGTACTAACATGTTAAAAGTGACAATTAAACGTTTGTCATGTTTCACAATATTAGGTATGACATTCGTTGTCACTATGTAATTTTATTTTTCAGTTTGCGAGCAAAATATGGGACTGATAAAATAACTAATGGTCTACATGGAAGTGATTCGATAGCAAGTGCAAATAGGTAGAGTATATATTAATTGTTATTAGTGCAATGTAGAAGTTTGAGATTTGTGGCATCAGTACTATAGTATCAATTAATTATAGTACAACATTTGCACACTGAACAAAAAGAAGTTGGGCTAATTTTGGCAGCCAAGATGTCCTGAAAAGCCATTAGGCCAATTTTGGCCCTACAGGCACATGCTATCTGGTTAGCATAAACCTTTATGAAGATAGGCAATAGTCTTTCAAATCACAGATCATTAGCCTATATCCATTGGGGCAGAGGAATAGTGTAAGGAGATTTGTCAAGTGATTCATCCAACATATTATTTTCTTATAAGAATTTAGGCAGAACGATTAATGATGAGAACGAATTTACAAGCATGCAGCATCGTCGTTAGCTTCATACTATGCATGACTTAGGGTCCCTAAGAACTATAAAAGGGTAATGTGGTTTACTATGGTTTTGAAGTATTTTTTGGGTTACAGAGAAGTTGCATGCTTCTTCCCAGACTTCGATCGTTATTCATCTGATAAACCAGCTGATGAAAGTGCAACACATCCAGATAAAAAGACACTGGCTGTTATTAGGCCAGATGCACTTGAAGAATATAAAGGTAGGCAGGGGGCCAGAGTGATACAAACTCAGTTACTGATTTCAAAACACCTTGTGTTTAAATTTAAACTGCATGGATATTTGTAGTGCATTAATGCAAGAGAATAGACTACAGATAGCACTGGCAATACTCTACATTATGTTGCAAGCCATGCCAAATGTGTCATTGTGTCAAGTCAAGTCAAAACACAAGTTTTCATATGCATGTGCTCTGTATTTTATTATATATAAAGGTGTGTTATATACCAGTCTTCATCTTATCACATTTAAACACTTTGTATGCAGGTAGATGGTTTTTTGATTAATTTGTTTATATCTGTGACACTCCTTATTCACTTAGTCTGTTAGTAAAACTATATTACACTGCCATAGTGGTTTGTAAATGCAAATCAATAATTTGGTGAATGAAGAAAGCACACATCACTATACACATGGATGTGGTAATATGCACTTGTGCTCATGTCTGCTCAGATGCTATTCTGGCAAGGATAACTGAGGCAGGGTTTGAGGTGACGGATCAAAAGGAAATGCACCTTAGCACGGAGCAAGCTGAGAAATTTTACAAGTGTCACCAAGAAGCACCATTTTATGGTGAACTTGTCAATTTGATGTCAAGGTAAATACCCTTGTTGTACCTGTTGTTGTGTTTGCAAATAGTGTCTGACAGTGAGGTAAATATTAGCGTGAACATAGCTGCATGTACTCTATAGAATAGATATGTTCATTGTATTCGAGTACACGGCATCATTTCATGGCGATTGTTGCTCAGTGTTAAAGAATGTCCGAGAGCATATCTAGTTCACAATTGCATTGAGCGTGTTCAGAATTAATTCCTGTACAAATAGTTATCACAAAATGCTAGTCAGATATATATGCATCTGCAAGTACTTGATTATTATTTTAAAAAGTGCTGTTTGCTAACGGTAATCAGAATACTTATATACCGAGTGCTGCAATTCTGCAGTGGTCCTTCACTCTTCCTGTTGCTTACGAAAGATGATGCTGTGAACGAATGGAGGGAACTAATTGGTCCAACAGATCCAGCAACAGCTAAGTTGGAGGCTCCTGAATCGTAAGTACCACTCTTGCATACACTGACAGGTATAATAGTGGTAAGTGATAATATCTCATTATGCTCCACAAGATATTAACAAGCTTTACACATCTACATATATGCTATAAATACAAACCAGGATTTTGGGTTTTATCCACCAGTATATTACTTTGTCGATCATTTTCTCGTAATGCTTAAATCAACTACTATATAGTTTTGTGCGGTTTCAAGTGGTTTTAGTGATGTATAGCAGATTCGGCAACTGTATTCAATAATTTGACTACCCATTTATTGTCACCGTTAGGTTAAACCTGCCATTCACGTTGCATTGCTAGAAAAGAATAGGTGGTGTATTTTCATCTGCCTGCTTCAGGCTACGAGCACTCTATGGTCAGGACACAGTGAAGAATGCTGTTCATGGCTGTAGCTGTGACGATGAAGCTACAGATCACATTGACCAGATCTTTGGAGATGAGCTAGGTAAACTGTCATCATAAGCATAATGTTTTGCAGTATGCCTGTAACCAATACCATGGTTAGCTAACTGTAGATGACTTATCATTATGTATGATGTTCATTATTTGTGACCTATATATTTCCACAGTTAAAGTTTTACTTATGTGCAGTTGTGCACCTCATTACTCTCTAAACTACAATTATGACAGCAGTTAATAAAAACAAACTTTATTCACTCCTGATTATGAACAGTTGAGAAACTATGAAAACGGTTGGTAAAAACATGAGAAATCCTCGCTTTAAAGTACAGTGCACATCAGTATCCATTGTATTATAGTTAAAGAAACTATACTGGAACCAATATTCCAAGTATCGGTCCTTGCTGCTGTTATACCACCTACTAACACTCCGATCTGCAATGAAACATGAATAATAACAAGAGCGTATTAAGTATACGCATACTTAATACGCTCTTGATAATAACAATCAACCTTCATGCTTCAACCTGCCCATGTAGATGAAAACAGCATGCAACACTGTTGAGGTTGCTTGCTGTGTTGAGAATACTTGCTTACCCAATAATACTTGCTTTGCTAACAATGCTTGCTTTGCTAATAATGCTCGCTTTGCTGAGAATGCTTACTTTCTTACAGCTACTGGAAAAGTATTGAAGGAAATGGTAAAACTGCTGTTTTCGGCTGTGTAGTAACCCCATTCATGTTCTGTGTGTTTCATACTTAGAACAATGATATGGCGTATAGAGTCCCTCCATAGAACACTTTCTTCCATTTCTCTTAGTCAATTGTAGAAAACTTTCTTTGCAATGTTGTGATCTTTCAGTTACATCGTGACCATGTTAATAGAAAGATAGACTAAATGCTGTAAATGGTTTACTGTCTTAAGTGTGTGTTTTACTTTTGACTACACGGGCATGCATGTAATTATTTGACATGATTTTCTGTATGTAATACAGTCATTGTAGATGATTTATCATGAACAAAATGATGTGTATGAAGAAGTGAAATAGATTGGTTCCGCTTCTATGCATGGCAGTCACATTCATTCCGTTAGAAACCCCTATTATGTTTATAATACATGTTACAATTTCATGTTATCTATACTCAGAATACCAGGTTAACGTATTGAAGTTTTCTGTCACTGCTGTTGTGTCATTGAGCAATGCACCTTATCCGAATTGTTTCAGTTATTCCTCGTGTAAAAATTGGTACATTGTTTCTTATGGGGAGAGTTAAATATGTAACATACCAGTCCTATCTAGAGGGAGTGGATCTTATTCAGTTATATATAGCATATTATCAAGAGTATATCAATATATTGATGAGTCTTGATATTGCGAATCTCATTTATGAACGTAGACCATAAACAACTTCAAATTAAATTGTTGTTGTGTATCCACAGACATTAATTATTTTAAACTATGGCTTTTAGGCCCCACCGGTGAAGGAGGAACTTGTGATCAGGAGGAAGAACGGTGTCTTACACCAGTCCCAACAGAGCAATCAGCCGAAAATGAAGAAAGACTTGCTGGTAAGTATTTCCACACTACCATGCACTTTTCTTTCTTTAGTGGGGTTGACAGGAAAAGTTTATATTGTGATGTGAATATGCTTAACTCACTGTTTGAAACATTAACTCATTTTACGCAAAGATATTACTCATTTATTGCCGTGCTTAAAAAAATAGACCCATAATTTTTAGTAAAATAATATTTTATGTATATTACTCATAATAATAGGAAAACCATTATTACCTTATGGCAGCAGCTAATCAGTAGTGCATATCCTCATTGTAGAAATGTAATGTTTGCAGAAGAAACAGAACAGCAATCTGAACAAGAACCATCTGCTGCAGAAAACCAGCATGAAGAGTGTAGCACAAATGAGCAAGTTATTGCACACGAAGAGGTAGGATAAAAGACTAGAGAAAGAGCGGAACATTTCTACAATGCAAAAGAATTCTTACAATTCTTCGATTAGGCTATCATCAACGTAAAATTTTGTATAATTGAAGCCCAAAAGGTGTTATTTTATTTTTCTAGCTGACCTGATGTGGTAAGTGTTTCTTATAAGAAATGATTCTAATAATTAACGTGCTGCGTAAATATATAGCGGGAAAGCGACTCTCAAAGAAGTGAACAAGGTGAAGCAAGGGATGACAGCACAGAAGAAGTCAGCACCCCGCCATGAACGACAACCTGCGGCGAATATGCAGCCAACTAGCAGCAACACCAGCAAGGCTGCAACAGTGAAAGATGAGCAATAAAAGCAGAATAAGCAAGCAGCCGGCAAGATCCAGATGCTGAAGCTTCCATTTATGCTTGGAAGTTGGTTTATATATTGCACCAGTTATTAGGTGTCATTGTGTAGTTAGTGAAAATTATCCACCACAGGATAGGTATAAGCATACTTACATGTATATGTATATTTATCACAAACCATTATACCACGAATACATAAATGTGATACTGGATATTTTAGAGACATACTTATAAACTTTACTCATAAATTAAGATATATGTATATATTTACAAAAAGGTACAATCTTGTTCAGCTTAAATATTAGTTTGATGATACAGTAAGACTAAAGTTGAAAATAAAACAAAAGATCAATTTCGCATAAAAGAAATATTTACTTTTTTATTACTAACATTTTTTTGCACAGTGCAATTGCAAAACTACAAAATAAGTGGGCTATATATAGTAATTACAAATACAACACATCACAGTCATTGTTTTTTCACGATGACTACAGTATTAGTTTTTTGCTGGATAAATTAGAAGTGAATGATGTTAAAAACTGTAAAAACGAAATGACCAGTTTGCATTTTCTCTCTCTAGCACAGTTGCTAAGCCTAATGCATGCTTATGCCAACGTTCCAAGTGGAGACCATTTCACTTCTAATATATCCACTTTAATGAAATTTCTTATTGAAAGATAAGCAGATAATACTTTGGCTTAAATAATTAATCCGTTGGAAGGGAAAATAACAAACACCTTGGTCTAGGACAGGACTAAAGTTGAATGAACTTGGATATACATCCATTTTCATCATTCAGTCAGGTTTCAAGTCTCATAACAATGTTTCAGTAATTTTATGTTTCAGTGATTGTAGGAGACAGCAACGTAGGAGAATTGGCTCTTCATCACCTCTCTCAACACTCACAGCCCCATGGCAACACTCTATGCTATGACACCAGTCGTCGCACAAATAATTTGCTAACACACGATTGAGAGCACTGGAATCTCACCAGTGCGTGACAAGTTAACCAGTGATAAGCCATGAACAACAGTAAACAATTGTAGTGAAGAGCAGCTAGCAAGTTACCTGCAGCTGCTATCTGATAAGAACTAGCGGAAATACATTTGCCACACATCAGCGAAGGAGTCCTTCCTGTTCTAAAACTGCAGACTACAATCTGCCAATTGAACAGGCAATCTGACACAATGTTGTATGCACGACATTAACAGCAAGGTTTCTTTTATCGATTCTTTAATACCTAGGCCGTGACATGCTGGGAATGTTGCCGTTGAGAGTTTGAGGAGGGGATATTTCTGATGACCAACCAACTGGAATTAATTCTGCATTTTTACCTGCCAGTATACGCACACATACATGCACACTGTGCATGTCTAAAAAAACACAAGTTTGCAGATAATCGCTGTCTCTTGTTGTCTAGACATTAATAATAAGTTGCATTTGGCTTCATCGAGATCAATCAATTGTACAGTAAAACGAGACAATTTTTGTCAGTTTGCAAACTAGCAGTGCAAAGTGTGCCATCCAAGAATCTAACATTAGCACCTTGATAAAGGCAATTGCTAACTGACAGTCACTTGTAACCATCAAATATCTGCTACACACTGGTTCGTGCACAAGCATATAATATAAATGTCAACTTGGTATTATCCAAGCTGACGTGTCCGCATTATAACCTAACCCATCTGAAAACGAATAATCGCACGTATTTACTGGTATATAACTGGGAGCCATTGCACACGTGCTAAAATAGAGAAGATATCTATAGTAAGGCTTTGGATATGCACCTCAGCTACATACTTCAGTGTTTATTGTGACTAGTTTATTCACTGTTTTGCCTGGCCGATTTTTTCTAATGCCTTTGCGATATCATTTTGAAATTCGATGTTTTTGAGTTTACAAATGGTGACATCTTTAAAAATAATACCGATCCAATGGTAATACTACATGTTCACACAGGCTAAACAGTATTTAGCATTAACGTGAGGGTCAAAAAATTCACATTCGAAGCACAAATTCAGACTGTAACGATAAAATTGGAAGGGAAATGCTCTGGATAGTTACATAATATATAAATGTATTAAATGTCACATTAGTCTACCATGAAAAGCAGCTGCATGCTTGATGATATGCATGTTGAAAATTCGTAGCGCTGAACAGCACAACTGTAAATTTCTGAAAAGCCGTGTCATATAGAATGCCACTGCATAAAAATATGCGCGCCTCTATCGTAAAGGTAGTTAAAGTCATGTAGTAGTTAGCTTACTTAACATTTGTAACCAGAGAAAATGCACAAAATGTTCTAAGCCTACTAACGAACGCTACACAGCAACTGGTCAAAACAAAATCGTTATAAAATTTTAAGAGAAAAGCAAGATATCTCGTACAAACGCTTCATCACATCCACATTGACGTAACACATTAGAATTAGAATTAACACCACGGCACATTTACAGTGAATGGCAATTAAACACAAAATCCGAAAGACTGAAAGATGAGGTTTCCGTAATAGTAAAATATCAACTATTTTAGGAAAATTAAATTCCACGTAAAATGCGTATGTGTAGGTACCTAAACGTCAACTGGTACTGGGGTACAAGCGGTCGCAATTCTCACCAGGGTGGGAGCATATAATTAGAATGAGAAACGCCACTGCTCTTGGCAATCACAATTCAAGACATGGCTACAAAAATTATATACAATACATCACACATGTCCTATGAGATACCTCCCTGCGTAAAATGTTTTGGTCATTACATAGACGTTGTTACATAATATTTTTTTCTCACAAATATCAAATAGACCGCTGAAAAACAAACACTACCAACAATAAACAAAATACTACTACCCTGAAACGTAATATTTCTAACGAATTCCATCATTCTACACAACAGAAAGTACTTTTGGAGCAACTTAGTGAACGTTAACTTGCATCAAAAATCAATTTTTGAGGGATGTCAAGAATGATGAAATTTTCATAAATTGTTTCAGGTAGATGTAGCAAACCATCATGGCAACACTTGCCCCAGTACCAATCTATACACCCACAACAGATCTATCGCACATTAACAGCGTTTACAAGCATCACAATGTAGTATAATAAAACCTTATTCAGAATTCTTTAAATTTAACAATTGATTGCACCGATAATTATCTTTGCTAATGGTAGTTGCCCACAGAGGAACACACGTACGTGCAAATATACAACAGGCAAGATTTATAAACTCACAGGAAATTTTCATTTTAATCCCTTCTCTTGCTAATCACATGGGTTCATCCCACTTAACGGCAGACGTGTAGCAAAACGTAGGAGTTTTTTTAATAAATGCTATCAGTGAATAATGTGAGAACAACCTCACCATCATGAGGCTTTGTCTATGCACCGGCTATCGCAAACAGAAAACTATACTTGTTTTTTTCTGACTATACCAATTCACAAAAAGAATACACTTAGAAAAGTATCGTGATCACACACAATACTGCACTAGCAGCAAGACCAGGCGTAATATTTAACCTATTACTGTTAAGAAAACCAGGAAAAAAACAGTTTGCATCGTCCTTGCAAGACGACCCTTCCACCATTGAATAGTTTAACGGGTCTGCAGGCAGTGAGTGCAGATTCGTTACAGCGTCAAACACATTAGATTTGCCTTATACTCGCGTAAGGGGAGGGAAAGTTTTCCTACGCCCGACACCATACGACTACTCCAACACTGGGTTTCCCTGCACAGGAATAGTGGATGTTGTATGAGTGGCATGTAACAAGATCACAAATCTCATGCACACCCACAAACAACTTTCAAAAAAGGTTCTTACTATGCGCAGGCTTTACCATGGCCACATGTAACTGGCTAAATTTCACTCTTCTTTGAAAACAAACCTTTTATGCAATTTTGGGAAAAATTCACATTTTCCAGCACACCTCTAACGAATTTGCAAGATAAAAAAACACGCACTTGAGTGAATTAGTTAACACAGTGGAGCACCGTTTTTTTTAAATTTCTAATACTGGTACTTTATACCGGATACCCCTCCTCTACTCTCGAGCCACTGTGAGCAATTCATCACTGCAATCTGCCAAAGCATTTATCAGTGGTAAATGTATCGCAAATCCTAAATGCCAAGAAAGCACGTGGCGATATAACGCCTGAAAACAGGGTTTCTACATCACCACCAGAAGCTCAAGGTGGAATGCTACGTCTGTAACAGGTTGGAGTTATGACTTTACTACGCACAAATGCTTGTACTTTGAGGTAGGTACTAAATCTCCAGAGGGCCGTGATAAAATGAGCATCCTTGTGCGGTTATTGTCATTGCCCCGACCCCCGAATTAATTCGTTCTGTTCACATGTGATTCCATCATGCACCACCATGAGACCTGCCAACATAGCCAACTGTCAAATGAACCACATATCACCTCAATAGCCACTGCTCATTAGCTGCTCTCGAGCAAATGCTGATGATAATAATAAAGACATCTAAATAAAATGCTACAGGAATGCTACAACGTTATATGACGCAATTACATATGCAGTATATGATGAGTATTAATAAGCTACACGTCATTGCATGATTTGTCTTTGCGAACAAAAACTGAACTGGTCACTACACAAATTCACTGCCATGTCTGCTTCAACATCCACACCAGAACCGCATCAAGTGTAGCAAGCTATTATACCAGCTCACAGTCGACAAACTACCAAATGAAGTACAATACACGAAAGTACACCTAACACTTAAGCAATTACCAAGCTTTCCGAATCGTGCGGAAAAACAAAAAAATGCAGGCGGAAGTAGCTCGTATACAATCTTCACAAGGCACGTACACATCACAATTGTAGCCATGTTATTACATTATGTACATAAACGTCTTCATGCATTGTAAACGGTTGTAACACACTCTACTAATCATGTTTGGCTATGCAGGACTAAATGCGTGTACATCATACGAATTACATATAGAAAGCTTGAAATCACTTGGTACACCAATAGCTAACGATATATTAAATTCTCCTTTACATTGTACGAATTTTCGTGAGGTAAATTTGAGATTCCAGATAGACTCAACAAAGTTAGCACAATTACTCAACATGTCATTTTTATGGCCATTGATATGGCAGTTTTTTAAAAACGTTTTTACACAATATTAATGACCCAGAGAAAGAGTCCACACCCATTAAACAAATCCACCTAATCAAGCATGACCATCTGTTAATAATATTCCCCCAATTTTTAAATTCCCAATTTGATAAAGAGATTGACATTAAAGCTCTGGCTAAAGAAAGCCACTACACTGTAGTGTAGTCTAGGTGAAAGGGATGTTGACTGTAACATTTTTTCCAAAGTATATCTATAAGATATTAAAATGAAACGTATTCATGAGAAGAACACTAGAAATTTTTGTAATATTATCCATTTTACGCATGACATACCTACAGACTGAGCATCGCAAATGGTTGTTCTACATTCCTTGCAGTCATATTTTTGCCAATTTTATTTTTTGAAGCAGATATAATACGTTTTATAATAAGTTTTTTCGTCTTCTCATTGGAAGCTCAATACAATTTATGTGAATTTAAACGTGTCTATTTTGAAAGCACATACAGGCTGCAATATCCACGCCTCTAAAATGTTTCTACGAATGAAGAAATATCGAGTTAATTAAAGTGGGACTCTAAATCCACGCAAGGTATGGCACCAACTATTCCACAAAAACATCACATCAGCACAAGGGGATCACAATCATTTTGCTATAGATATTCACTAGGTAATAATATACTATCAACTGTTGGCACCAGTTAAATATATGTAAGCTTTCACATGAACACAATCTAGTAACGTGTGTGAGTATGTTTAACTGAAAACACCTGAAGGGTACCTAAAAGCACCCCGACAAAAGTAGGTATCAACAGTGTAAGGCTAAAGCTGACCCTTAATGATTCCTGGCTAATAGGCATAGACATGTACTTCACTGTAGGGTCAGTGGAAGGTTACGAGAGAAACAATCACGTGATATGTAGTGTTTAACAATACGGGGAGAACATGGCTACGTAGCAATAGTTAAATAACACCTTTCTGCCTACACAAGAACACTTATTAAGCAACAATTTAATGCTATTTTGAATCAATATGGTTAAATTACCATTAAACACATTTAAATAATTTACTTTCCCGTGCATACAATCGAGGGTTTAATAACACACGAATGACAACTCACGGTAAAAGGTAGGAATACGGTCATTAAGACTACTATGGAAAGACATCAATTCGGTTTGAGTGCACTCATAATATGTCCTGTGCATCCGAGGTTCTACAATAGGAACACTAGATGGCACTGTTTGCTTGTGTGTGACGTGCATGTCGGTACCATCAGCTCACTCACATCAGAGAGGATTTCTTCATTGCTTGCCGTATAGACAAATAACGAGCTACAAGTAGAAAGCGCCATGTGCCCGCCTAGCCCATTTTGGATCGCCGTCGAACATCTGACAAAATATCATTCACATGGTTCCTTGCAGTGACTCGCCAGTTTACACGCCACAGATGCACACAGGAAGCGGCGCTGCAGCGTCAATTCAATGGCTACAAACTTAGTCACCGAAGCCAACTACACAGCGATTGTAAACGTGGAAAGTGTCTGTCGCCTACTGTTATGCTTCACATATTCTTGCCGTCGTGTTGGCCTGCCTCTATTCACGACTACTGCGTAGATAACCTCGCTAACGAAAGACATGAACTTTAGGCACACAATTACCATTGCTAAGTGAAGATAGAAATATCTGTTGCATGTAACTATATGGGAATTTAATTTAGTACTGACAACGAAAATTTGGTCAGTGCGGAGATTACAGAAAACTTTGCGTAGACTGCCACGGGACACCCTCTATGTCCCGTGTGAAATCCAATTGCATGGCGCCTCAATAAAAACGGATCAAGAGATGAGTGATGAAAATTATTGGGTTACAGGTGACCAAAGATAACAAAATTTGTACTAGTTTGCGAATACCGAATTATGCATCCCACACTGAACAAGTCTTTCTTTACACATTAGACAGCAATTGAAAATACAAAACGAGAGCATAGGACCTACTTCGCTGGTAATATTATCAAGCACTTCATCCATGTGTTTAAATATTGTGCACCGAGCTCGCATATATGCATATGCAACGTCATCACATGAAACTTTTTTCGATGTCACGTTTGGGCAACGAACCTTCTTTTGCTTCGAAAATAGGAAACGCCACCAACATATATTATATATGAATATATTCTCAATTGATTGAGTGAACAAGTTGATTTAACACGCTTTGCACTGGACAGTCACACCATGTGCGCGACGTGTTCGACGAACACAAGCACCGCTGTCATCTGTGAGTTCTCCTTAGTATCACAACCTTGCTTGCCCTATCACAAAGTTGACTGAGATCCCTGCCTTTTGGGTAAAAACATCACCAAGCAAAATGCTCGAGACTATAATATAATTACTACAGTGTAACAATAATAAAGTTGGCGATGTATTCAATAGCGTTTCGTTTCAGGCCATCTCTAAAAAATTCTATGTTTGCTGTCCCCCGCCCCATGATCTTTTTAGTGGGTAGGTAGGTAGGTTTTTTTTTGTGTGAGGCATAATAGTTATTTTAAGTCTGTCCTCATGTTTGCCACACATGCTTTGTGTTTCAGTCTTAACTATGAATGTAAAAAAAAGGAACCCAAAATGTAAAAAAAAAAAACTTTTGGGCCGCGGCTATTTTCGTAGGTCGGTCGGAGGACAGCAAACATATAATTTTTTAAGGATGGCTTCATATAGTGTGTACAGACAGTCACGTCAGGCTGTTGCAGAAACAAAAACGAGTTGGGTATCATGATGAGTTTTTTTTAGTTTTAGATTTTAGAAGTTTTTGACCCTTGATGACAAGGATAACAAAGGCGCATTAACAGTCACTGATTTCTAAGACCAGAACTGTTTCCTGAATATAATATTCTATGTAATCAACAATTTCTTCTGCATCCCCATTATCTAGTTTTTTTTATCTAACAGCCCGCAAAAAAAAAACTATACAAAATGAGCCAAGGCCAAAATCATTATACAGGCCACGTGTACTTATACTGCATATAATGAATATAGAAAGACCAACTTCCTGAGAACTAAAACAGACTGCATGCTGATGGCTGGTTGTGATTTCGCACAGCACAATGTTCACAAGCATGGCCCACGCCTTATTGCGATAGAAGACTAGTAAACTTCAGACTGGACTGCCTCCACCTTTACAGCTGTTTCTCAATCCTCTGAATCTACTATATATATATATATATATATATATATATATATATATATATATATAAAGCGACTTCTCCATGCATGCTACAGAAACACTCTCAACTTATCGACTGCAAATAAGCCTTATGACGTCCAACCACCTCCCATCTCCCCGCCACGATGATTTCCATAGAAATTTTACCTTCAGCTGTTCCTACGCACTTGCAACGAACATGGGGGTGTTAAGGAGATAGCAGAGATGTAAACAGAATGCGATGCATCTCTGAACCTACACAACGAAAAACAAAATGGACGAAGTAGTAGTGTTGGCCTCCCGCTGCTGTCTGTGATACACACACTCACACCAGCAGTGTGGCAAAGGTCTAGGTAGCACTGTTGCTTAATTAATCATGTCAAGGCTATATATGCAGTGTAAACGAGAATCTCATCACCGCACCGGCTGCAGCTGTGTAATCCCGTCACAATCTCTACATGTGTGTTTGTGTGTGTGTGTGTGTGTGTGTGTGTGTGTATGTACTGCAAGTGACCATAGAGAGTGTGACCTCCAAGTATGTGATATACATCCAAGTATGTGACCTCCTCAGGCATATATCTCAGAATATCAGTTTCTTGGCTATACACGAGCTAATGTTATGTAATGATATAACATCAACTTGAGCATGTATCCAATACTTAAATAGGACTAACCAGGCATCATCTGCACTGATACCCTACACAATATCTCAAAATTTGATTTATAACAAGTGAAGCACTGACCGACAATGATACTACAGCGACCGAATAGAGACAAACAAACCCAGGAGGACCATTACAGATGGGAATGTACGAAAACAAAGTGGATTAATATGAGACAATTAATATGTTTACCATGCTATACATGATAGCATCTTCCACTTCACGTCGCATAATATGTATTACATGTGTCGCTAATCACACATTGGTCAATGTGTTCTTCAGGTAATACTAGAAGAGCATTGGATATAATAAACAGTGAGAGGCCAAGTTACTGACGCTACACGATGTTCAGTAAAAGCAACTGAAGTGAACACAAAAGCTACAAAAATTCAAACGGTTTCTCGTTAGCTGATTATCAACCCTCGTAACCATTTTCATTGACTTCAAGATTAGCAGGTAGAAATCACATAGAGCCAGTTTGACACTGCTGAAAGCACTTCTCCAAGGTAGCAATACGGCTATCCAGCTCCTCTAGACCCTTACAGAATTCCATATCATCGCTAGATCGCAGCGACGAAACGGTCTCCGAGACGACCTTACTGTTACAGAAGCCATTGCTATTGTTGACATACTGCATGCTACAGGATCGCTGCATGGGGCTTCCTGGTTCGGCCGACTCCGCTGGGTAGGTGCCGTTGGTGCCCGCCAATCCGATGAGATCGGGCGAACTTTGCCACTTGGTGAGCTGCTGGGCATCGCCGTTCCTCACGCCCCCGCTCCTGCTCTGCACGTCCGACAGGAACTTCTGCAGAATGTGACGCTTGCTGCTCGCGGCCGGTGGCAGAACGCCGGCCGCGCCCGCCCCGTCCTGCGCACCGCCGCCGCCGAGAGAAGCGGACGACTCAGCCTGAGACGACCTGCCGCTGACGCTCTTGTCGACTACCAAGGAGGCAAACATCTCGTCCAGCTCGTCGCGACACGCGCCCTTCTGCTCGACGGATGCGCAACCTACCTGCGCCGCGTTACTCTTCGAGAGACCGGCACACGAGCCGGGGCCACTCTGATCGCGCCCGGGCAACGCTCGCGCAGCAGCACGCTCGCCCGCCGACGCCTCGACTATCTGCCCGTTCAAGATTCTCAACGAGTGAAAGGTCAGCGAACCGCTTGAAAGACTATCATTGACAACGTCGCTAATGAGGCTCGGAACGAGTGGTTCCGCCAACGCGCGGACTAGGCTCGCAGCTTTGTCCGCGCAGCCGGTCTCGTCGCTACCGACGCCTCCCCCATTGATTACATCACTTTGGTTAGCACTAGCGTTTACAGCGTGCTTCCAGGAAGCGAAAGACGTCAGCGTCGCGTCAGCAGAACTAGCGCCGCGCTCGCTCGGTGAGGAACAACTGACCTGGGCGTCGACGCCGTAAATGGCGGTGCGGCTTGCCGCGGGAGTAGCGGACTGTGCAGGCGCATCGTCGCAGCCGTCGGCAGCAGCGGCCGCGCGGCTGGTCATTCCGCTGGGTGGCTCGTTGGGAAGGCGATGACTGGGACGGTGCTCGCTGCTCGTCCTCGGTGGGTCTATCTCGCTTGCATGACCCGGCTCAGTACACAGATCCTGAGCCTTGCTGTAGCCATTAATTCCACCGGTTGCAGCGCTGTGCACAAACAACCCAATACTGTTACATGCCATTAAATAGAGAACTAGACGTCGTTGCAAGGATTTCCATCATTGAGCGAATTGAAATGAAGAAGGTGAAAGTGAACTCTAAGAGGCTTTAATTTGGCCAAGTCTGTTTATGTTAGTATTGAGCAATCTGATCAGAAATATTGTCAAGGCTCATTGTGGTATCAGCTTTAATTGCATTTACCCGTGTATTATTTTTTTTTTTATATTAACGTTAACTATGAATACTTATAAACATTCCAACAACTTTTACTACAAGCTTTATACGTATAGTTCACCTGTTTTCAAATTGCGCCTTTATTATTGTGTACAGTTTTTCCAAGGAACTTGCACCATTGCACTCTATTTCTTTCAATAGCTCAGATAAGGTGTACTCTATTTCCCTACATGCAAAATAAAGGTTCAATCAAGAAATCAAACCTTTAGTGACTATAATTAACAGATATTTTCCCAAAAGTCTACTACACACACTTAAACAAAGTGCACAATTTTATTTCAGTGGTATAGTACATACCAATGCTAATAAATGAAATAAATTGGATGGCTCCTACGAGTAATCTTTAATTACTGATATATAAACTTGTATCGTTCTATTCTCATCTCAACTACTTAACACATTACACAGTCACATCACTTACATCAAACATATGATAAATTAACGAGTACGATCGTTATGAAATTACTACTGTGATTATTATAGTAGGATTATTATTAGGTGATTACTCACCACTTGTAGACCTGCATACGAGTGACTTCTACGTCTTTCCTCTTCATTCTGGTTCGCAGCAGGTCATTCTGTTCCTGCAGAGCCTGGAAGCGAATGCGGGTTGCATCCGTCTTCATCATCACCTCGCTCAGTTCTGACTGCAGCCTCGCCAGGTCTACACTGTTGCTCTGCACATGGGAAACACTCATGAAAAACCGTTTTACCGTGACGCAGACGGCAGACAGGAGCTATAGTATTTGGTAAGCAATAAAATATCACCAAAATTACCACATTCAAACCAGTGCTTGCAGTCACCTCTATGGAATGAAATTTTGACTATAAGTCACTTTTAGCATTTCCTTAGATTGGTAGTGTAAAGTGTAACCACCTCTGTCGGTGGAGTGATCATATGGATAGAACAACCGCTCTTGATATTTACCGTGATTGGCCCTTCTATTCCTGTGTGATCGCATAAGAACATTTCCCCTTTTTTCGACTTTCACGTTTTTATTCAGTAATCGTTGCCATATCCCCAATACTTACACTCATCTCAAGGTCTTCCTTTAGCTTTTGATTGTCAATATCGAGCTCACGCAACTCCCTCTGTAGATCTTCAACGGTTGATTGCAGAAACTGGTTCTGCTGCTTTTCCTCTTCTAGATCTATCTGTAGCCGTACATTCAAAGCTTCCAGTTCCACTGCAAGATAGCAAGTGGATGATTACTAAGAAGTCAAGCAAGAAGCACTGAGGATATTTAAGACTAACACAAGAGAAATATCATGACAGTCACCAATCTTGTTCTTTTGCACCACACACCATCACAAGAAGAACACACAGATAAAGTAGTCAAAGATAATTAAAAAATATTTGCATTCTATACGACCTATGTCTCGGTGATGAGGACTTTAGCACTTTCAGAAACAGAGCACTAAAGGCACACAACACTTACTTTCAAAAGTTGTGTCGAAGTTATGATGTGACCTCTCCGCTCGCTCACGCTCTCTCAGCTGCTGGTTGATTATCCGAATTCTCCTACGAGAACAAGATGAGGCTGAATTACATTTGAACACAAATGAAATAAAACCTATTATTGCACAGTCCAAATTATTACCGATGCTTGTAGCCAGCTGCTTTCTTATAAAAACACCTGACAGCGTTTAGCAAACCACATACATGTATGAAACATCAGAGATGGAGATTGTACAAACTAACCTCTTTAGTTGGCAGTTTTCACTCCTCAGTGGCTGCAAGGCCATATCTATCTGTGTTTGTACATCACGGTGCTCCATCACAACTGGTAGTCTGCCCACTGCCATCTCCAGCTCCTGCACGAGTTGAACAGCACGTCTGTCACCTGCAGCAGAACATTCACCTACATGCAAATTGGTTACAGCAGTAAACTGACACTGAAGGCGAGTCAGCTTATTATGACGTTTTCTTTCAGCACCAGAATCTGTCATTGCATAGCATAGGACATCTTTCTCTTTTTAAATAATAATTCCAAAAGTGAGGGGCAATGCTTTTAATAACTTAACCCGATTTTTAACACACCTCGATTCCCAAGCATTAGCTTGAGATCTTCCGTGCACTTCATCAGCATTTTCACAGCATCTCTCCCGCCACTTGGATCATTCCTTTCTTCTTGCATCATGGGCCTATTATTATTGGGAGAAGGGCCAGACTGCAGCAGTGGGCCACTGATCGGAGAATCATCAATGTTTGGTAGATTATAGATCTTATTCGTTACATCAATGCTACTCTTCATTGGAATCCCATTGTATGGTTTCCCTGCTTGATCAGAAAAATTTGGACTATTGCTCATAGAAGCACCTTTCACTTGCTTTGGTGTGGCACCGGTAGCACATGCTACAGACTTTGGTTTCTCATCTTGAAGCCAGTTGGTAAACTCTCCTTTGCGAGATTCTGGTAGCTGTTTTTTTGGTGACTTCTTAATGCTGGGTTGGGGCTCAGCCTTGCTGCTGCAATTGATACTGCACACCGGCTGAGGAAAAGAAATGCTGGCTTCAGTATTATTCCCACTAGCTCCACTCACATGAACTGCACGGCTCTGACCCTGTCGACTAGCAGCACTAGGCCGATTCCTGAGGTGGCAAGCATCACCCTGGTTGGTTAAATGCGCTGGAACGTCATGACTATATGATCCCGGTGTCTGAGCTACAGTTACTAAAGAGGAAGTGAACGGAGCACCGGACATGAAAGACTGTGGGGCCTGACTGGTCAACAGTGGCATCTGGAAGGATAGCATTGGTGCAGGCAGCTGAGAATAAGGATGTTCACATGTAGGAGTAATCCAGTTGGGAGACTGTGGATCGTACGACTGATAGTACTCAGTACCCCCGGTTTGCATAACATTGTTTGTGTAACTTGAAGGTTGCGGTTGTATTCCATTTTCCTGTAAATCCTGCGATATAAATGCTGAGTCACACCCACGCTGGATTTGCTCCTCTTGGCGACAATTTTCCACTTTCTCTTCCATTACTCCACCATTCAGCAACTGCACTACTGAGCTAATACTGTCTGATTCATCTGACTGCAGATCCACTGTTTCTGCCCCAAGTTCCTGAGCTGTATCAGACGTTCCAATTTTCTGAGATCCAAGATTGGGGCTTGTTGATTCGCTGCTCAACCCCATACTTTCAATCACAGCATAAATATTCGGCACGATTGGTGAGTCTCGTGTGTTTGTCACAGACACGAGTGGTGGCGGGATGATATAAGGCAGCACCGTCTTCTCAAAGGCATGAGGTGAACCTCCTCTCTCAGGGTGCAGATAGGCCCTTGGCTGGTTTTGCATATCAGGAAGGATGTTCGTTGAGCAAGGAAGACTCTGGTTGAATAGACAGGATAACAAGTTAGGTGTATCCTTCAGACCTAAAATGAACAAAAAGAAATTTTCTATTAAATGTGCAGCTATTACATAGGTGGATAAAAACAACTAAAATATTTTTACACACATGACAAGAAATATGAATATTTATTCAAGCATGTGCATTTTCGCTTTGTAGGATTACGGGTACAGATTGCTCATGCCACAACAGAAAAAAACAAGCTCAAATTCCCAAGGTCAAGAATAGAATGGTAAACGGTACTGTCGCACCGTTCCGCTTTTTTGAAATTTAAATTGCGCAAAATTGCCAGACTTTATACATTGCAGGCAGGTTTACCCACACCACCTCTCAACATTGCAAATGCATATTAATATTATTGTATTTATTAATTTAATGATCAATGGTACATTGCCAAATGTAAGAACATCATCTTGTAAAGTATTCTCCGACAGTAAAAACCGAACCTATATCTGCATGCGTTCACCCATGCATGTCTATAATGGCATTGATTCTAATTATGAAATTCAAAAACCTTTAAATTTATACTAATTTGCACACATGATGAACACGCATGCATGGATGCACACATGCAACGGTTTCAACCATTATGCTATATAAGTATGCATTTATAACTGCTTACATATGGAGCATATATGTATGGAGCACAGCATCACTATGAACTATGATGAGTTCTTCCTAATAAGACTTACCCCCAAGCTCTGCCATATTGGCCAATAGCCTGGCACATCTCTCAATGCCTTCATCCAGAGAAGCTACATCTTCTTCAGCAGAAAATTGGTCTGATGCATCCGATGTTCCATTTATAATTCCCGCCTGTTGATGTCCAGCCATTGCCATTTTCTCCCTACAGATATTAATAATGAATTTAATTACAGAATACCAACACGGACACCACAAATGCAGAATGACGAAATCATGACGAAATGTGAGTATACACGTGATTAGCCCATATCAGCATTCAGGTAAATACCAGTATTAAAAGGAGAAAGTAGTGAAACTGAAAAATAGCATATTCACTTTTTAAATAATAGACTTGTCTAATGTTATAAAAATTACCCTAATTATACCAGTGACAAATTAAAATTAACCCAAGAGGAAAATGATTTTGAGATATATTCCTTATTGATTCATCTCATGGCTTTGGTTAGTACTACTCTGTCAAGCAATGGATGAAACCAATAAGTTTGAATTTATATTTATATTGAATCAAGATTTGTATGCTACAGTGATCCCAATTAAATATGCACGCAACATGGTGGGGTTTTATGTAGTTTCTTCAATAACCATAATTAGCATTTGAGGGTATATGGAAGATTGGCATATATCTTACTGGACATAGTTGTCACAGGTAGACAATAATATACAGGCACTGGCTTTAGGGTACGGCAATACACCCACGGATTAACTGAATTCTCAAAAGCAACACTTTTTTTTATTATATGACATTTATATTATATTTAAAAAACTTTTTTTTACTCTTACTCAGAGTACACTACAAATTATTTTTGCATGTGTGCAATTTTTCTAGAGACATGATAACATTTTGTGCACTGATTGGCTAAAATGATTTTGTGCGGTCAATCTAAGATTTGGCCTGTGCTGTTTATATTAAAATAGCTCACAATAAATAAAATTGGTCAATTAACAATTCTATTAACTATCCCAATCATTTACAGTTAAATACAATGATTTAATGGTGGATATTATAGTCTTGACCAGTAGCAAGAATAGACAGCCTAGTTATATGATCAATACAATTAATAGTTACATAATTGATTCCACATAAAGAGATTCAAATTACCTTTCGTCAGACTTTTTCTGCTCTGCTTTTCGTTTTCTATTTCTTGCCTTCTTGTTCTTCTTTCCTCTTCGACTGTCATTCTTCTCCAATCCTTCTACAGGCATTAGAAAGCCAGAATTTCTTTTTGTTCATCTCCTTCAAGGCGTCCTCCTACATTTTAAAATTACATTTATAACATACAAGTATGGTACAAGCATATATGCTAAAATTATTGTGAAAAAACCGGTATAGTGAGACAGAAGATAAATTCACATCTTTCACCTACTCAAATCAGAGACATTTTCTATCAAAACAAAATTTGTGTGCCTTTACATTTATAGCAGTTTTACAAGGTCTTCATTACCTAAACATTTTCACCACAAAACAAGTATGCAAAATTCCAAGTTATTTCTAACCATATGTATTATATAATCTTGCAATAAGTAGGCAATTTATCACTCTTAAGTTGCATTGCAGGCTTTTGGAGAAGAAGTATAATCTCAATAATCTTTATTTGGCAGTAAGCTTGGTTTCATGAGATTCGGCTAGACATGATTTAGCATAGGCAGCGACTCCTTGACCAGTAACACCAGGTCACCAATGGACAGTGGCTAAACAACACCCCATCACCAAGAAAATATCAACAGGGCGCATCTGCTTCATTTATTTTTATGTAATATTTTTCGCAAAGTTATTAAATAATGCCTATTAACAAGGCGTATATTAGGTGGCAGTTATAGTGATTGTAGCCTTAAAGTAAGAAATGCAAAGAAATTCTCTGCCAGATTACTATTTAGTTACAATATTCTATTAGGAGCCAGCATTGCTTTAGCTCTAGTACTATAGCTCGCGTACAGTTGCCGCAAGTCTATAGAACATTCTATTACGAATGCTCGGGACCAACTTATTCACGGTTACTCGTGGCTATAAAACGTCTGTGGTAGGCAATTAATTATGCCTCTTATCCGAAGTGAATATGTCTTAAGTTATATCTGCTACTAAAATTTAACCTCTAACTCTCGTTGAAATGGTCTACTTGCGGTATTTTTGGTGCAGCAGCGCCAGTCACCGGGAACTATGTATTTCCGCACGTGGAGGGGTGGGCGGGTTGGGTTGGTTGTGGACAAAAACATTGTTGTTGTCAAGTAACAAATTAAGCAATCAACAAAGATTGTAATAACTAATATTTAGTTTTGTCATGAAAGATGAACAAATTACGAGTTAGTCAGGGTTCTCCAAGAGCACTTATAGCCTGGCGGCCCGCCAGGCTATCGTCGAGCCCTGCCATCCTAAAATGCACCCGCCACTCTAAATATCATAGCTGCCATGCTAAATATCATAGCCCCCGAACCCCCCTAGCACGCAAACTGCCTTCGGCGATTTGCAACTAGGACCGTAAAGGAAGCACCCGCCATGCTATAATGAAAAAGCTTAGAGCACCCTGTTAGTATTATTAATTTGTTACTTGACAACAACAATGTTTTGTCCACAACCAACACAAAACCAGCCCACCCCTCCACGTGCGGAAATACATAGTTCCTGCTGACTGGCTGGAGTAAGTTGGTCCCGAGCATTCGTAATAGAATATTATTATTGCTTATCATATCAACACATAGCTCTAGTACTATAGCCCGCTTACATTAACTGCCGCTGGGCTATAGAACGAGCCATTAGGGATGCGCTGGACCAACTTAAGCACGCTAGTACAAAACTATAAAACGTCTGTGGTAGGCAATTAATGCCTCTTATCCGAAGTGAATGTCTTAAGTTATATCAGCTACTAAAATTTAACCTCTAAATATCAATGCAATGATACTGTATACTTGCGATATTTCTTGTGAACGAACATTCAATTTAGGAACTTCAAACGCCCATTTCTGGCGGCACTGTAGCAGCGCCAGTCAGCGGGAACTATGTATTTCCGCACGTGGAGGGGGGTCCTATTATTAGTTTTGTCATGAAAGATGAACAAATTACTATTAATGTATTATTAATTTGTTACTTGACAACAACAATGTTTTTGTCCACAACCAACACAACCTGCCCACCCCTCCACGTGCGGAAATACATAGTTCCCGCTGACTGGCTGGAGTAAGTTGGTCCCGAGCATTCGTAATGGCTGATGCTATAGCCCAGCGGCAACTGTACGCGGGCTATACAGTGTCAGTACTACTAGTAGTAGTACTAGTAGTACTACTAGTAGCGATGCTGATCGCTCGCGCCATATTGTCTAGATTTCAGCAACCATATCTTCAGTTAAGTCAATGTAGATACTTTCAGAAGACGTAACTTTTAATATATATCATATTATGAAAACAAACTTTGTGGTCTAGATGAGAAGGGCCTCAACCGTTTATGTTATTATTTTCAGAATTTTTACCGTAACCGTTTTTGAGATAGAACGTGCTAAAAACCCAACAAAACGTAAACGGGGCTAGCAGCGACCTGGCATGAAGCGCGCGGCACCGAAATTTTTCGAACGGGCCCCAACTTTGAGCCTCTTGGGGCAGTATAAGAACTCATTAATATCACTTGTTATTGATATAATAATGTAGACCATACCTTACTGTTTATCTGTAAGGGTGTTTCTTTTCTGTTAAATAGTTAGATCATTGTGAAAATTGTATTTTTAAAAATCAAACGCTTCAAAATCAACTTTCCCGACATCGTTTGAAAAAGAAACACCCACCATTACAATCCTCATTCGTTGATCTATTTAGATACGTCATCATAACCAATTGAAAAACAGTTCTTATACTGCCCCAAAATCATTTTGTAAACCTATCGCCGTGGGCATTACAGCTAGTGTGATCATAAGGCGTAAGCTGTTTGCTGATTGGCTGAATCGGACATGGCGTGTCACTCGTTTCTTCCAGTGTTGGTAATAGACTGGTACCTGTTCACCACTGACGCGTTAGTGTAGCGTGTGGAACTATCGACCGGGTACCAGTCTACGCTGGTAACTGGCATGAAAGCCGCATGATGCAGCCTAAGTCAATGTTAGACGTGGTTAGCTGTCGCATATATTTATTATTCTTTTAGGTGTTCCAATTCCAATTCCAGGAAAGCCGCATGATGCAGCCTAAGTCAATGTTAGACGTGGTTAGCTGTCGCATATTTATTATTCTTTTAGATGTTTCTCTGCAATTTTATCAGACATTTACACAAAGATAGAAGCCTTATATAGTTTGATATTAGTCTGGTAATGCAAGTGAGTTTGTTGAACAAAACAATGACTGATAGTGAGGTTCCAAAAATGTCAAACAACACTGAAACTACGGTGTTGTGAAATTTGCGCTAGTTTGGACTGATCGTCTTACTGATTAGTTTAAATTATTAATATCATAATATTCCATTATAGTGCCTTGTTGCCAGCAATTAAATGGAAAAAAGGAGACGTTCCAAGTTAACTGCGCCCTTTGCGTTTTTATTTAGATTGCCTCTCGATTAACGGTGTGGTCTCAACTGCCCATAGTACAACTGTGTCACGAACAATTACTTTGTTGTATTTTACTCCCCGTTTCTTTTGGTATTCTGAATATAATGATATATTCATACAATTTCATGTAAATTGCTCTACATAGTAATTACTGTTGTGTACCTATCGCACACTATGTATCTGCTGTATTTCCTGGCAGCTATAAGTAGGAAAATTATTTCATTAATTCATTTTTCGAATTTTTGTAATTTACAATTTTTCCCCCAAAATTGCATGTCCTATATACAATTTCTTGACACGTTACGCATGCATGTTACGTCGAACATATTCACATACTATGTGCTCCTGCACATTACTATACTAAATTTCATATATCTAGCAGCAGTGAAACTATTTTTAATTTGAACCAGACGAAATACGTTTGTTACGGAAAACGGGCAGCTGGAAAGTTTGTACTTTCGAAATTTTCAATTTCCTTCAAAATTTGACTTCAATATAAAATAATTGGTGTCATTTAAATGTAATTTTCTTTCAGAAACCTGCTGTAAGGATGCATTTCTACCAGTACATAAATTCTCAGTGGGGTAGGTAGAGCAGAACCCTAATTAATTTTACCTCAAAATTGGAGGAATTGCTCAAAAAATGTCGGTGCCGTCGCTGATACAAAACATAAATCGCTGGCTATGGAGCTATATTCAGACACCTATAAAAATGCGAAGGCGTCTTCCAGATTGCAGTTAATAGTCATTTTATATAACAGTCATCATCCTTATTCAACTCACGAAGTTATATGGGTGTATGAAACTTATTTACTTTGCAATTGACGAACAAAATCTATACCGCGGGCTTTAGAACACACACTCGGAAATGGCCTGAGGAAATTAACCCCAGCGACGCTTACTAAAATCGCGATAGCTCCTAAACCCATAAACCAATCATGACAATTCAAGTATCACTGTAATCTACTGGCTGAGATCTATCCAGTGGTGCTATTTATGGGCTTCTACCTTATCTAGAAATTTTTCGACCAGTATCCCTACTACTAGTAGTAGTAGTAGTAGTACTACGTACTAGAGTAGAGCTAATCAACACACAACTATCACCATTGGATGGCAGTGGCAAGGCTTGTCACGCGATAAAGATACACGATTAATTGTAATTACATCAATGTCAGTACATCTGCGCCAATACCGTACGTTGACACGCCTGTACAGTCGTTTCTATCAACATGTGAGAATTGCGGATAGAATTTGAGAAATTAAAATGGCGGTCACAACAAACCACAAAAATTACGCGACACCTCCTGTTCACATTGTGCGGATTAACGTACGCATAAACATAAATAACTTGTAACATTTAAGATCTACAGAGACTATAGATACGCATTAGATTACTATGACAAGGCAGAAACTACGTTCTTGTACGAATATCGAGAAAAAAACATACTAGATTCACCTATCCCTTTCCTCGATCAATAGAAACCTCAAGTGCCGAAGAACGACAAGGTGCCCATTCGTTCGCGAGCGAAAGAGGCAATATAGTACACGGTAATTTCTAGTATGATACAAATCTGCCAAAATTTCTTTACACAAAATGTGTTTCAAAACTTAAACAAAAAGTTTGGCATTATATTACTGTATACCGTTATAAATAAATTATAGTTATCAAATAAAATACGACCTATATATAAATGCGCAAATTCTCGTAAAATCTCGTGCATCTCGTGCATAGGGCGAACTATATTAGACCGTAACCGTGGTTGTGTTGATGTTGTGTATCATTGAATCATTGTATGGTAATGGCGTTGCCAAAGAACAGTAACTTATCATTGGCTTTAGGTTTAGGAGCAGCAACTGCTTTAGGTTTATTAGGATTCAGGTATTTAGCGAAACAGAGGAAATCTCGGGGACTTGATGCGCAAAACGCTGTATTAAATGTAAGTCACAATCCACATGCTCACGTAGGGCTTATCTTTGTGGACTAGCCTCTATAGTCTAGGCCTAGTTCACGAGGTTTTGCTAGTCTGTTTTACTTTTACGTTTTAGTTGTACTGTTACTAATACTATTACTAGTGTTAGTGTTACGCAAAATGTTGTTTAGGCCTATTTAATATTATTATTGTACGTTTATTTTTAGATTTGCATTTTTAGCTCATCCGACGTAGTCAGATGCAGCTTGTACTTGTAGTTGTACTTGTAGTTG